CTGCCGCCGCTCTGTTTTAAAGCGCCCTTCTGTCGCCGTGCTGTTGTTGCGGCGGTGATGACGCACGATGATGACATCACGGCTTTAGCGACACGGTTTTATCACCGCTATTTTGACAAGCGCGGTTTTGTCATGCCACGGGTTGCAGGCAGGGTAGAAAAGAAATAAGAAATAAAATATTGTAAAAATTGGAAGGGCTAAAAATAATTCATCTGGCATTGGGCCAGATAGGAGAAAGTATGTTTGAATCAATTGTCAATAAATGAATTGAGAGACAGAGCTAAACACACTTTTTTTTCCTAGTCGTGACATTCTAGGTAATCTCTAGGATTATGGGAGCTGAAGTCCAATCCTTCCAGAGACATTTTGAGGTCTCATCATTTTAGAATTAAACTGCGATAAAACTTTCACACAATTGACTTATTTTCATACTGTTAACCATTATGCTAGTTTCTGTTTGAACGTCTTAGTTTATAAAATAATGTCCACATCTACCATTCTAACCCACAGCAGAAAACAGTGTTTTTCAAAGCACTCTTCATTATGTGAATTGTAAAATTCATTTTATTTATTCATTTTACAAATATTGCCCTATTTTTGAATATATAAAATTCAGTTGAAATCTGTCTTAATTATATGTGATACTTATGAATAATGGAAATACTACCCATATTAAATAGGACAAATCTTATTTCAGAAAGTGCTATTGTTTAAAAATTTTCCGTTTCCTTCTTTTTAGATGAAATTTGATAAAGAAGGCAATGTTACCTCCTATGGTATGTAGAATTCTTTTTTATTTACGAATTCAAGAATAATATTTTACAGTAATGTTAGAATTTTTAAATTTTTAAATAGATAATTGCAACATTAATAGTTTATCATCAATTGTTAATACTTTCTGTTAAACTTCAGATAATTATTGTATTTGTTGAAGTGATAACTTTGAGAAATAATTTGCTTGCCTCAAGTGGTCTACGTTTTCATTTCATATTTCCATACTTTCTTTTTGGGGCAGAAAGAAAGAAAACAGAATTGTTTCAAGAACTAAGTCTTCAAGCACGAGATCTACGGTTTCAACATCAAGTAAATATAACACCCAGGAACAACAAAATCATTATGAGAATGGAGGTAAGAAAAATATATGAAAACAGCTTTTAGTTATTTAGAAAACCTCTGAAATTTTTACACAAGGCAAATTGAAGTGACATATTTCTTTTCCTTTATTTTCTGATAAGTAAAATATCGTTCACCTCCTCCTTCTCCCCAAAGTTTTCCAAAAGACCTTGCATATAATCAGTCAAAGGAGTTTCTGCCTTTTGGTTTGTGCAGTATCAGAGTTTCAGAAAAGATTGGCATGGGGGAAAAGGTGAGGTGAAACAAACTCAGGAGCCAATTCTTAAAAGTTGTATAGTACCACTTAAAATGGCAAAACATGATGGAAATAGGAAAGAGAAAGAGCACAGTAGAGATGAGCCGATACAAAAGCTCTAGATTGTGTCAAAAAGACCTAGCCTCGTACTTTTATTTTATCAAGGAGCCTGGTAGAAAATTTTGAGAAGTCTTTTTTTGCCTAATCTACTTCAGAGAATATGTGATAGGACCAGGATGGCGAACCTATAGCATGTGGGCCACACGTCGTACGCAGAGCCCTCTCTGCAGGCACACCGTGCCCTCCCGCCAGCCAGCTGGTCTTCGGGTCTCTGCTGCTTATGCGTGCGGGGGGGGGGGGGGG